TCTTTCTCTCTCTCTTTCTCTCTCTCTCTCTTTCTCTCTCTCTTTCTCTCTCTCTCTCTTTCTCTCTTCCTCTCTCTCTTTCTCTCTTCCTCTCTCTCTCTCTTCCTCTCTCTCTCTCTTCCTCTCTCTCTTCCTCTCTCTCTCCCCCTCTTCCTCTCTCTCTCCCCCTCTTCCTCTCTCTCTCCCCCTCTCTTCCTCCCTCCATCTCTTTAATCACATCAATTCAAGTTTTTCAATTACTTACACATTTGTGCCAATGATCACGACAGTTGAAGTACCCTCAAAACATTAGTAAATGAATACATGTTATTGTGCATAAAAAATCTAAATGTGTTCTTGAAAATTTATTTTGTAATTTGATTATCATCATTAGGGGCCAAAACTGAAAAGATAGAGCGAGAGATGACAATTGAAGAAGTAGAACAAAAAGCTGCAGAAATTTTCCCTGAAGATGTTCTTTCTGGATTGTGTGATACTAACTGGAAGACACGATTAAGTAGTGTTGAGACTTTTGTCCAGGTAAGTAAAATGTAAACCACACAATGAGGCTCAAATGTAATTTTTTATGTAAGCATGCCTTTATTTCAATGTTTCTAAAAAATATTTGTGATAAAGTATTGTGGAACATCATAAATAGTGGTTCCCAACTAATGTTGTAACACTAATCACTTTTGTACTTCGAATCGGTGGAACCCTTTCAAAAATTCACAAGAATTGGTGATATGATCTAGAAGTAAAGCAAATCTACATGAATTATGTTATTCCAGGTTATTAATGGAATGGAGCCAAGTGAGATACCATCACAAGTGATGATTCAGGTACTAAATAAGAAACCTGGTTTAAAGGATACTAATTTCCAAGTTCTGAAAGCACGCTTAGAAGCTCTGAAACTCTTGGCTGAAGTATCTAAACTTTCAAGGTGAGTAGTTACCTTTTCTTGAATTACTTTGTTCAGTTGAGTGATCAACAAGGTTGTGGTAATTGTGGGCTTTCACACCCGTGGCCAAAATATTGGCATTACTGTCCTCGATGCTGTGTCACCCAGACATCCAAGAGATTCCACTATAGTCATGATTTTTCTAAGTGTGTCTCTAACAGGTATTACTCGCGCAACTTTCTGGAACGGTGATCTTGCTTCCCTCTCTACGACACAATAAACAGTTGATGCCAAATATCGCTGCGTGCACTGATGACAACATTCCAAATGCATCTTTACTGTCACGAAATAGAAACTATTTTCCATTGAACACTTCTCTGTGATTTTCACCAAAAAATCTAAAGAAATGACCGAAGTCAGTAAAGTTCCATCACAGGAGGTATCTCAAACTCCTGAGAAAGTTAGAACGTAAATTATTGAGAAAGTTGCGTAGGCATGACTGATTCTTCAGAGATTGTCATTGCTTCATAAAATCTAGTGGCCAATTTTTTAACTAATACCCCCTCTCTACCTAAATTTCTTCAATCTATCTTTCAAGAAAGTTTTGCACGTGTAATATCAGGTGTTGGTGATTTCATCCAATCGGGAGCTTGAACATCACCATAGTCACTGTAGTGATATAGAAGCTCATGGTTGGATGAAACCGTCGACAGCTAATCCTGCCAGGGGCACAGGAAGCAAAATCGCCCTATAGTCCTGGACAAGGAATAAAACCGAACATGAAGAGTGTTAGATATTTGGCTGTAAATTGCTTTCACAATGATAACATAGCAGAATGCCGACTTAATCAGGGTATCATTATCTATGAAACTAAAAATTCAAAAATAGGGAAAAGTCTGGTATTTTCAAAGTTTATTTAGATTTGGGTAGTCTTGTAAAATTTGATAATAGTTTGAGTGTGTGTTGTGGTTATTTTTAGTAGACTTTTTTGTTGTTGTTTTTAATTATTAAGAATAGCAATAATTTTCAATATTCGTACCAAATGTGTATTTTTGAACACGAATATTCACTTCTCAATTGTCTGTAATAAATTTTCAGCACAAGTGTGGAATTATGTGTGGTTGATGTTGCTGAGAAGTTAGGAGACCCCAAAAATGGTGTATTGGCAGCTGAAGTTCTCACTTCTTTAGCAGAAGCATCAAAGTTGGACCTTGTTGGAACTTTGGTGCTTGATTTTGCTTTTAATCAGAAGAGTCCTAAAGTACAACAAGAAGCATTGAATTGGCTTTCTAATGCTATTAGAGAATTTGGACTTGTGTAAGTTGTTACTGTAAAGTGTATCAGATACCTGGATGTTTATATATCATGATAGTATAATCTGTATTGATAAAATCTCTCTGTTAACTATATTATTTCCAAAATTTTTTTTGTAGGATTCAACCAAAAAAAATCATAGATAAAGTGAAGAAGGCATTAGCTGCAACTATGCCTGCTGTTCGAACCGCAGGAATTCAGTTTGTTGGTACACTATATGTTTATATGGGATCGCAGCTGACAATGTTGTTTGAAAATGAAAAGGCCTCGCTGAGGCAGCTAATTCAAGCAGAATTTGACAAGGTAAAGCTACCAGTTAGTTTTAAAGATGATTTACAATCTTCTGGGGGAATGGTTGAATAGATATTACTACTGATTATATATGCAAATAAATATAATAATTAATGTACAAAATGGGGTTGTTATTTCTACAAGATGTTAAGAAAAATTGAAGAAAAACAAACAACTTTGAATTTAGTTTTTTTAATTGGAAAAGGCTCTTGAAAAGGGGACCATTGCATTAATATACTTCAATGAAAATAGGAAGTCCTTTCAAGGTCATGAGCTTGCCCAAGAGGGGAACACTGTGATTAAATTGTGAGTTTTGTTACGACCTAAATTTTATTATTGTTGCTCCTGAGAGGATGACAGTGTCAACCTATCTTTTCAGTTTGTGACTTTGAAGGAACTTCCTGTTTTAATGGAAGTGTAAAATTTCATGTTTGACAATCTGCATTGTGCGTCAAGTCAGATTTCTTTGTATAAAAAGAAACTTGCCTCTTTTATCATGTTAGCAATTTGATTTTTGCTTTCTATACGATAATGATCTTTTTCTGCTGACGTACTGAATTCTCTCCTTAGATCTTGAAAGAAATTTTCAGTCTTCAAAATAATAATCCGAAGTTTATCTGCCTACGTTGAAGCAAATTTGAATTTGACACTTACAAAAGCTGGCTGTCCTTTCAGTTCATTGATAATCAGTTGTGTACTAATGACTCAAATTATCAATAACAAAATAATGTTTCTCAAGAAGATACACAATTTAATATTTTGTTCTAATAATAGAATGAGAAACATTTGTCTTCATTCAGAAAAAATGTGTTAAAGTTCAGCATGAGTGATTCAGTGTTGTAAAGACGTACTCCAAACAAAAGGGCATATCTCCTTGATACCAAATGAATGTACCTGAAAAACCAAATACCTTTTTCAATAATGCCTTTCTCTATAAAGAAAAGAAAAGGCATACAATATACTTAAAACTAGAACAATGAAGGTAGTCATGTTGATACCAGGGCATATAGTGTGTGCAAAAATTTGGTATTTGTTGCACAAACATTTTTGTACAACTTTTATGCTGCAATTTATTAAACTTATTAATTTATAAATATACACAATGTTTAGTATATTTGACCATGTAACATTTAGGGTGTTGAACTGTTATATCTATGTTCAATCATGCTGAAAGCTAAGGATTTTATGGTATAAATTCGTCGGTAGGGAAGTTATAGATTGTCATGTATTGTTTTGTGGCAAGTACTAGAATCTCAATCGTAAAATTATTCCCATAACTAAATTCTAAAACTGCTAATCACCCTAGTACGTTCAGTTTTGGCATTCGGCATTCTGGCAAATTGTCTGCTCCATAACATACAGTCACATTTACATAAGGAACATTACTAAATTCGATGCTAAATGATGTGGTGCTAACAACCAACACCATCAAACACAACCATAATAATATAAATGTGTATTAAAGTTATATAATAAAACACAAATTTATTAATTTAAGTGTTACAAACATTATTGCTAAATACATGTATATTAATAAAAAGTGTAGGAATGTAAGTTGTAATTAAAGCAATTTCATGTGATAATTTCTGATGCATTATGAGATTCATGTTATTGCAGCATCATGTGCTAGTGTTGTTTCGCTTACATAAGTTTTGTCAGGTGCTTTATTGCTGTTTTAACAATGCTTTACTGTCATATTTTGTTTACCTTCTCTTAATTCTTGTTTTATCTACAGCATGCGGGAGAGAGTCCTCCCATCCCTACAAGAGGTGCTTCGAGAAATGTTAGTGAAGATCAAGATGAAGATGGCTCTAGTGAACAGTTACAAGAACAGCAAATGAACGTACGAGAATTAATGCCACGTGTAGACATCAGCTCGCATATTACAGAATCATTGTTGGAAGAATTAAAAGATAAAAACTGGAAGGTATTATTTAATTGGTAGTATTATTAAATTATGCCAGTAATATCCTCGTCATAACATTCCTGTTTTTTTTTCCTTATTGACCATTGACTGTAACAGCAACTTTGCAAAAAAAATAGTACATTTTTCTTTGTCAAACTTTCCACTGAATTATTCTAATTAATATCAAACGTTTAATACATTCTCGTCATGCTACAGGGTATTAGAACTTTCTGTCCAATATTTTGTGGTTCTAATTATAGTTGATCACTTCCAATAATGCCGGGGAATTGAAATGGCACCAATTTTTTTTTCATATTATATAGGATAAAAATAATAAAAATGAATGAGTCTGCAAGTTCTGAAGGAAACTTCAGATACTAATATGAGAATGTATGGTCTTTAATATTCTATTAGCGAAATATATTACTGTGACTGACACTAGAACTTTTAATCTAGTTAACCTTTGTTGCTGACACTGCATGTCGGTCACTCTAGGAAGAAATACTTAAGAAAATATGCTACCTATCTTGGACAAAGTATGTGACCCTTTCAATCGTGACAATTGCTTAATTATCACCCTACTTGAGATTTAATCTGTAATGTCAGAAAAGAATCAGTGATCAAGACCAATTCTTACAAACATCTAACATATCAAATTAAAGCAAGAAATAAATTGCTCTGAAGCGAAAAATTCTAGTTGTTTCAAATAATTTTAAAGGATGTAAACTATTAAAATTTTGTCCATCCAAAACATTTTGTGATTGTAAGCATTTCAGAAACTACTTAAATTATTTGGCAGATACAACATGCAATATATTATCTGTTAGACAAGTCAACGCTTAAAAGTACGTGGTCCTATGATGAAAGAATACCACTTCAAGACCACATGGTGTTGCATGACAGTGGTAAAAAATGTGGAGGGAGTGTAGTGTATAATGTTATGTGTAAAAACTGCAAAAGAAGACTTAATGAAAACTAACTTCAGTTAGCTTTCGTAATAAAGAGTACTTTGGTTTGAAGCGTAGCTTTGTAGATTTCTATTAATAATAAATTTTATTCCATTGAATTTTAGCTGGACTGTTTTGGCTTTTGATATTAAAATCTCAAATTCCTAAACTAATATCACACATTAAGTGGCAATTAATTCAAAATTTTGTGATTAAGTGTGGAGAAAAAATGGAGTCTGGTTTGCAAGTTAATACTACTCAAGATAGGAGTATTTTACCCTAATGTTCATTAAATTTTGAAGAATTTTTCCCTTTTGCAGAAGTAAAAATGTAATAAAAAAATTTGAATGTTTCATTTTTGAATAATAATTTATTTTCTATTTAAAAATCAAGAAGTAACACAGAAAAGTAAAAGTTTTAATTTCTTTATTGTTAAAAAGTGCCCTTCTATGAATTTGTCATTTCTATTATTCTGGCTTTTGGAGGCATTATGTACAGGGTTGGTAGAGACATGAAATTAATGGAGTGCTATGAAGTGTATATTTTCTGAGAGTTCAAAAATCTAGTGAACTTACTATGCAAGTTTCACTTTGTTATCTTGTTTACAAAGAGAATGTGGCCACTGGGAATTAGTTGGTAATTCTTTATCCTTTACATGTTGCATTTACAGACTTATTCCTAGAGACCACTGTGTGGTTGTGTCTTGTAAGCACATTTTGATGCTATTCATTAGTTTCACTTAAATATGGACTGACCCAAAGGAATTATATTGGATAATAACTTAAATTCTGTTTTCATCTTGCTTATATAGGTACGAAATGAAGCCTTTCAGAAGTTAGAAAATATTCTTAAAGAGAATAAATTTGTTACCAGCAATTTGGGAGAGTTGCCACCTGTTCTTGCACAGCGGATTTTGGATAGTAACAGCAATATAGCTAAAACTGCTATTGCATTTAGCCAAACATTGGGAATTGCTATGGGATCTCAGTGCAAAAATCAAGTACATGTAATTTTCCCATCTCTTCTTCAGAGTCTTAGTGATAATAAGGTAAATAATGCTGTACTTTAATTCTATTGCTGTGTGAAGTGATTTGTATGAGATTTTTAATTTTGTTTGCTTGCATACAGCAATGGATACGTTCTGGAGCTGTTTCTTGTATGAATGCTTGGGGTGAGCAATGTGGATTTAAGGAGTTCTTCAAAAATGAAATGATTGCTGATGTTTTGAAGTCTGATAGCCCAAATCTCAGGACAGAATTATGGGGATGGTTGGCTGAAAAATTGACAGATTGTAAGTATTACTAACATCAGCTGATATTAACTGACAATGAAAGAATTATAAGAATTTTTTGAATGTAAGAAATAGTATACTTCATTCACATGTTAAGTGGATTTAGTTCTGAAATTATTCTATTGCTTGCTTGACTATTTAAGCATAACTAATTGTGAAACTTCGCAAGATTGTGAAATATCAAATATTCTTCCACTCATTGTTATTTAGTTCCGTGTCTACCAGCTGAGTGAACTACAGAAATGATTTATATTATTTTTCCAATTCTATAAATTTTTTGGAGAAAAGCATCTGGAAAATAAACTTAAAACAATATTTTGAATCGCTTTTGTAAATAAAATTGATGTTCTTTTCACACTAGTATTGAGATGGCCTACCTAAAGAAGAAAAAGAGCGGTTTCAAAAATAACTATTTCTTGTGCTGTTAGTTAACTAAACAAATTATCAAATTCAGATAAGTTTTTTAACATTTGAGAATAATTTTTGGGACTATCGAATGTGTATGTTACGTTAATCTGGATATACCAATGAAAAATGTTCACATAAACAAGTGTTTATTGCTTTCTAACTTGCGTGAACTTTGTTCAGTGCCTCCAAAAAGTATACCAAAAGAAGAATTACTACTTTGTTTACCACATCTATATGCAAATTTGGAAGACAGAAATGCTGATGTACGGAAAAATGCTCAAGAATGTATCCTGCCATTTATGCTGCACTTAAATTACACAACTATGGCAAAAGCTACTGAAAAAATGAAGGTATTGAAATAATCTTCAGTTTTGGATAATAGTTTTGTTTTTGTCCTACTCAATATACCAAACAAATTTTTGTAGTGCAGAGCCTTTAAAAAATTTGCCTATGTTTTCATCTTTTTTACTTAGTCATCATATAGTTTGAGAGCTCAAGAATCTTTAATTTAATTTTGCTGCAGGAAGGAAATTTTACCAAAGTGTTGTTGCTATGAAGTTATTTAAACATGTTGGAATAAAAAGTGCTCAAAAACTGTGGATCCTTGTATATTTGATTACATGAAAAGTCTATACAGTTTTTTAAGCATTTGTTTTATTCATTAAAAATTTATCACTCTTTTTTGTTGAAATGTTTTTATAAAATATTCATTTACTTTGCTTTTAGCCAGCATCCAAAAGTACAATTGTTGGACTTCTTGAGAAAGTACGAGGTAGTGTTCCCCTAAAGCAACCCTCTGCACCTGCTAAAAATGTAAGTGAAGATGAAAATACCAAAACGGTGAAAACAGCTGGAGCCAAAGCAGCTGCAGCAAACAAAACTGCTGGGAAAGGGAAGCCTGCTGCCAAAGCAGGTTCACGGAAGAAAGATGATGAAGCAGATACATCTCCTGTCCTTCAGAATAATAATATGAAGCATCAAAGAACCATTGATGAACAGAAACTCAAGGTAATCTTTCAAAATGAAATGGGATTGTGTAGACATCACTCAAAAGTAAGGATGTATCTGAGTAAGAAGTACAGGAGTACAAAATTTAATGGTACTAATGGAATTAGAGCCATGGCTCTAGAATGTAGTGTTTTTAAGTGCATCTCAAATGTTTTTATAATATAACGACTGAAAAATATATTAATTGAATAATGAATCCAATTTTTATCACAAATGTCCTGATTGTCAATTTCTAGGTATTAAAATGGAATTTTACTACACCACGAGAAGAATTTGTTGAGTTACTGAAAGACCAAATGACAAATGCAGGAGTTAATAAAAGTCTTCTAGCTAATATGTTTCATTCAGACTTTAGGTATCACCTAAAGGCAATTGATACCCTAAATGAGGTAAAAAAAGTTTTCTTGTTTTGTGTAAATATGAACTTTAAATAACTACTTATTTATTTTGCATTATTTACCTTTTAGGACCTACCAGGAAATGGGGGAGCTACTATGGCAAATCTTGATCTAATATTAAAATGGATGACTCTCAGATTTTTTGATACGAATCCATCAGTTCTCATTAAAGGCTTAGAGTACCTTCAGCTTGTCTTTACCATGTTGATAGAGGAAGAATATAATATGTATGAAAATGAGGCAGCTTCTTTTATCCCTTATCTGATTCTAAAGGTAGATTTTTTAACATATGCATACTTCATTTTAAAATATTAATCAGTCTGATTTATTGAATTAAATTTGTCTTCAAGATTGGTGATCCAAAGGATGCCGTTCGGAATAGTGTTAGAGGATTATTTAAACAAATGGAGAAAGTGTATCCATTAACTAAGCTGTTTGGATATATAATGGAAGGATTAAAATCTAAAAATGCCAGACAGAGAACTGGTAAGTATGTTTTTGTTCTATTGGGTTCATTATTAATTTGATAACATAATTATTTAATATCATAATTGTTGACAGAGATCTACATTTATTAAGAAATATTACCTAATTTGGCGTGGTAACATTATTTTGTGTGGCAGTCAAGATTTGAGTTACATTTATTCTATGTACTGTATTAACCGAAATATACCATATTTACCTGAATATAAGACAATTTTTTCTCTCCTAAATATCTGTTGAAAAATGCTGGGTCATCTTATATTTGCAGAGTAAACCTAGTCGGTTAGGGTTTGTGTTTACTTTCTTATAACATCGGGAAACTCCTAAATATTCACAAGACAATAAACTGCGGAGGCTAAAAATATCATGGGAATCTACAAAAGTTAATATTATATTCAAGGTCATATTCTTGACATCCACTGCTAATTTGACAGGTAATTGGGTTTTCTTCCAAATATTTTTTAACGGACCGGTAACTAGAGAATCTCAAAAAATGGCATTGTATCAAATGAAACTTAAGATAAGAAAGAAAGCAAAAATGTTGTTATGTTGCGCCTTCGACAATGCCACGCAGAATCTTGGTTTCACACCCGAAGAGTGTGAATCTGTGTATTGAACTGTTAAAGAAACATAGGCCATCAGCAAGCGCGGGACAGATAGAAAATCTGGTGAGACTGAAGGGAATGTTCTTAGGTGGCATCTTAAGACTTAAAACACAAATTCAGTGCACAAAATTTTCAGAGGGGTCTAAGAAGTCAGTTACAGCATGAAAGGTGGACCAAGAAAGAAGAAACATCACACATGTGAAGAGGAGGATAGTGACAAAATCTATTATAATGATGCTTTTAAGAAACAAGAAAATAATAGTTTAGTAATAAGTATCATCATTCTCATCAATCAGGCAATTTTCTAGTCCATAAGCCAATTTGCAATTTTATTTTGACAAAATAGTAAGAATTAGTTTACAATTTTAAAAAATTGTCAGGAGAACTCTCCAAAATCAGGGAGTTTGTCTTATATGCAGTTGACTTATATTTGGGTACAGTCAAATCTGAACATTATGCGACTCCTTACGTAGGAAAAGTTAATTTGTACATTTTTTAAAATTTCCACCAATTTTTACTATGTAGTCAAAATAACATTGCAAATTGTCTACTAGACTAGAAAATTATGATGATGAGTGTTAAAACTTGCTGCTTGTGCTATCTCTATTTCCATGTTCATTAAATTTTTCTTAATATAGAGAGTTTTGTCACTACATTCTTTCATCATCTTCACATGTATTATTATTTCTTTCCTTTTGGTCCTCCTCCTATATCGTGCCGTCCTCAGACGTTTTAGGTCCCCCTAAAAGTTTTGTGTATGTTCTTAGCCTGATGACACCTAAGTTCTCTTCTGATGCCACCTAAGAACATTCATTCCTTTCTGCAACTCTTTATTTTCATCCTGACCCTCTGTTGTTTGTGGTCTCTGATTCTTTAACAGTTCTTTCACCATCTTGAAAATACTTAAATTTCACATTGATTAACTTGTGTAATTGAGTTGTGAATGGTAAAATCTTACATCTCTCTTCATGGGTAACTTGGGAGATAGTGACAGATACATAAGTTCGGAAAGTTTTTTTGCTAAGAAAATATTTTTGTGATGATTCAGTGATTGGATAATTTGTATTTCTATCAGTGTAAATTTCTTCACTTCCATCTCTTGAAATGCAGATTTCCATTCCCCAGGGATTGAAATGACAGTCCGCACACTCTCGTTGCTCAGGATATTGTATAACAAAATTTCGGCATTGAATTTTATTCATTTCCATGTTGTGTTTCACTTGATATAAAGCCATTAGTTTAAGATCCTCACTTCAGAGGCCCATTTAAAAATATTAGTTTGAATTGCCTTACAAATGCATGGTGGATGCTGAGAATATATACGGGAATATAATAGGATATTAGAGATATGCGATATTTTTATCTTATTTGCAGGTCGTTACATCAACATTTAAGAGTTTCCTGAAATGGAAAAGCCAAGTAAATTAATAAGTTCTAACTGACTAAGCTTAATCTGCAAATGTAATTTGGCTTTTTTTTTTCGAATGAAATATTTAGGAAAAATCCTAGCATTTTATCGGAGGAAATACAGTATATTGAAAATCATTACTTGAACAAGCAACTGCAATATTTCTTGCATTGCATATCTAATGTTCTGTTTTAAATGTTTGCAGAGTGTTTAGATCTCCTTGGTTCCTTAATTGAAGTGTATGGAGTTAGTGTTTGCAATCCTTCACCTTCTGCAGCTCTCAAAGAAATTGCTAAACAGATATCAGATAGAGATAATTCTGTAAGAAATGCTGCTTTAAATTGTGTCGTTCAGGCATACTTCTTGGAAGGTGAAAAAGTTTACAAAATGATTGGCCAGGTAATTTGTTTTTGGTAATTTTCTTTTGTCTTCACTTTTTTATTATTTTGGCAAATTATATCAGAGAATGTGGCAGTGTTTCTATTGCTAAAACACATTGTTTTGTGAAATTGGCATTTACAGATAATTAATAACAATATATTGTTTGAAAAAGGAAAAAGTTAAAAATTTCTGGAAGCAAGAAAATGTCATTGTCTGTTCCCTCTTAGAAAAATCACAATGTAAACAAACCAAGGAAATCTGTGTTCCACACTGCTTCTGATTAAGTAATTTGTCCACTGCTTTTGGTGAAAGAAACAGCAGGTTTGCTAGTTCAAATTAAGGAAGAGCTGCCATGTTATGCAGGCAACCACATAACTTTACTAGCTTGTCAGGAAGTGGTTCAATTCCCTCTACGTCCATTGCAGATGATTCTCATCTTTTTAATTGAGTGAACAGCCACACTCCCAGACATTCTAAAACTTACTGAGAAAGGCCTGTGCCAGCAGTTTCACTAGCAGCCTATGCAGCTGGACGTTGCAACTCTTTCAATATTTGTTGAATATCTGGGATCACATATCTGCCTGTGTCTTTTGTGGCCCCCGACATCATATATACAGAACAGATCATACAACAGATTTTTTGGATCACAAAAGAAATATGCAGAAAAATTAGATCCCAAACAGATAACTAAATAGTTTTGTATCAGAAACTAGATGACTGTGGAGTACTGCTAACCCGTAAAAACAACCAAGCACATGAGTATTTGTTTACAGCAGAATTTTTCTAAAAGTGAACACAGTTTATAGTTTTATTCTTCCTCTCATTGTTGCTCTTTATTTCTGTTTCTTATTTTTTGATGGATGCCATGTGAGTAAAAGCTGTTCTCATTTGTAGGTATCTGATAAAGATTTATGCCTACTAGAAGAAAGGATAAAGAGAGCTGCTAAAAACAGACCTGCCCGACCTTCTGTAGCAGTATCCAAGACTCAGCAGGTGCCACAACAGCAACAAGTTCAACAGCCGGTTGAATCCCCACCTTCTTCAAAAGTAGACATGGATGAAAATAATCAAGAGGATTATTCAGATAATGAAGAAGTTGCCCCTGTTCCTGTAATGAGGTATATTTCTTTGATTTTACATCCTCTCTCTTACTCCTTTATCATCTTCCATATATTTTTCCAGTGTCTTTTTGATGCTTTAAATGGAGGCTGATCCTGAATTTACGTACATTTTCGATCAATTTTAAATAATAACACTATTGTCTGAATTCACATGTAATGCAAATTTTTATGTTGAGTGGTTCTTGAGTTTGCCTGTGACCTAAACTCAACCCAAGAACCACTCAACATATAATTCCAATGGATAAAAAATTATTAATTACACAATTTTTTTTATGGATATTTTTTTACTTATGTAAACATAATTGTATTTGTTAGGAATATTGTGCCAAAACCCAGGCCTGTGTCGGGGCCATTTGGTTTGGATTCAAAGCTTCTGGAACAGATAGAAAAAGAAACTTTAGATCTTAGTGCTCCAAAACTAGAAAATTTTGATCTGGCAGAAATTTGGGAGTCACCAGTCAACATTCCCAAGACAGCTTTCTGTGGATTGGGGTAAGAGTATATTGTTTTCTTTTTGTTGTGATTCTCAAGTTATTATAATTATATACTTGGGTGTGGTTGTATTTTGGGTACACATGCATTTGTACTTTGTAAGAGTGTGTGGGTGGGTGTGTGCATGTGCATGTGTCATTGAAAAAATGTATCCAATATCAGGCAAAACAACATAATCTCTATGTAAAAATGGACTCGTTGTTAAACTCTGGATTGAAAAATGTCTCCACACTTAGGACAGCTGAAAAGGATATTTAATTTCTAATATATATACTTGAAATGTTCTATCAATGACTAGGTACTATTATGTTAAAATGTATTTAAACAGAAAGAGAACATCAAAATGTATTTTGGCTATAGAAAAAAATAAAATGATTAAACAATAGCATTAAAAACAACAAAATCTTTTTAGCTAGATGAGGTTAATAGAGACCTTAATGAAATCACTGTCCAGACAGTGTCAGTTTGTATGTGACAGTTTGATCATAGTGTTGTTTTTCTCTTACTGTTGTGGTATTCTGCCTATGAAACTGTTATGGCAGATTTTAAAGAACTATTAAGAGTGTGTTTGAAATTTTGCTTCTCGGTTCAAAAATCAGCACCAAAAGTTTACCAAATGCTTCAACAGGCTTTTAAGGAGGATGCTATGAGCTCCACACAAGTTTTTGAGTGGTTTGGGTTCTTTAAACGAGGTGAAATGAGTGTTGATGACCATGCTGGTTCTAGGCACCAGTCAACATCTGGAAACAATGAAAACTTAGAAAAATTCTACAAACTAATCTACTAGAATAGTCTTTTTACTATTGACAATATTTCAGAAGAAATGGATGTAAGATGGAGCTCATGTCGGTGGTTTTTGACCGATTATTTGCAAATAAGACATGTTGCTGCTAATTTTGTTCCTCGCCAAAAAAAAACAAACATTTCTGTTCCCAAGCAGGAAGAAAAATCTAAAAGGGAAGTGTTTTGTTTATATGAAGGTAATAGCAGCTTTGAAAAAAGCACTGAATGATCTCAAAGTTTAAGATATCCAGAGTTGCTTCAAATAATGGGAAAAATTACTTGACAAGTGCATTGCATCTAATGGAGAGTACTTTGAAAGTGACTGAAGAAATATTTTAAAAAATATTATAAATCCTTTTTTTATAACAACAATCTGGTTTCTTTTGGGTCCTCCTAAATATATTTTGTATCCTGCTTCTTGCATTGTAATTCCTATATAGTTCCCACAGTTAGTTTTTGGGCCTTTGTGTAAATTCATTACCAATCAGATGGGATGGTTGCTCTGTAGTTTACTTAGTGATATGTATAAAAATTATTATATTTCCATTTATACCAAAAAGAGAATAATTACATAGAAAATGAAATTAATTATAGTAGGGAAGCATCTTTACTAAGTTGTTAACTGAATCATGAAATTTTACATTGTGTATGGTTACAAATCACATTTCTATTTCTATCTTAGGAGACCATTAAAAACCAATAAAATTATTTCAAATAATTTTATAATTGGTAATATGAGAAAATCAATTAAATAAAAAACTGCCAAAATTATTTTTTTATATTCTAGAATTTCATTTATTGTTACAAATGTGTCTTGAATAATTCTTCATTTCGTAAAAATACTCGTGACATCTAAGTAAAGAAATTTATTGACTTATTCTTCATTACAATTGTGCGATTATTCTTGTTTACTTGTTAGCTTCCTTTCCTTTTTTTCTTAGAACGATAAAATTTAGATAGAGAATTGCTTACATTAATGTAACAATTCATCGAATACTAAATATGCTAAATCAATTAATGGAGGATTAAGGACATTTGGAATACTTTTGGTAATTTGTTTGAGTGATATAATTTTGAAGTAAATCTATATTGTATAAAAGTGAATTATGTGTAACGGTTTATTTCCTGATTTCTCTGACTAATTGTAAAAATGTATAATAAAATAATTTGTTTTTGTAGTGCCAAACGTGACAGTTCTCTACCTACTGCTTTGATAACTGCCCAACCTAGACAATTGGATGACTGCACTACTTCCAGCCAAGTTGTCGATTTGGCAATAGCAAAAGTGGCTAGTTCCGACTTAAATGAAGCATGGCAAGCAAATGTTCAAATGGAAGAAATGCTTAATTCTGACAGAGCAAACTTGCTTCTTGGGAGGGAAGATAGTTTGATAAAGTCATGTTGTGTGCAACTTAAACTTCTGTATGGAAATTTTGATCATGATGCAAACTTGCCTAAGGGGTATAGAACTCTTTTGATGCTCATTATCGAGGTTTGTAGCTGGTATTTTTCAATTTCCTAATCATATTACTCTATTACAAAATGTTGTCCTTTCTTATGAAAGGTATTGTGTCCCTGTATTTAGTTGTTTCATTTTTTTCCCAGTTCTTCGATCATAAAAATTTGGGCAACAATGTGTCCGAAGATGCTCTAATTGAACTAGTGGAAAACCTTCTGGTGTTGTTAGTGTCTGGACGCGTTGAATCATTTGGAGAAGGGCATTGTTATGTTCGTATTCTTAACACAATTTTGCTACGAATTATTCAATTTGCCAATCCTACAAATACTACTTGGTATGTAACAAGTCTTAGTTGTAAAGTTTCCATTGTTTTTGTATGCTTTATGAATTTTTTTCTAAGATTGTAACCAATCACTTTTTGCTGTAGCACATTCCTTCAAATTCTTCACAAATGTGCTGGCAGTAATAATTTGCCTGCTCGTTTTGAAGAATTAACTTTGAAATGCTTGTGGAGACTTATTAAATTTTTACCTGATTGGGAAGGAGAATTGGATATTTTAATGGTTCTGCAAAAAATCCATAATTTTCTAAAGGTATTTCCTATGATTAATACAGACATTTTCATTGTTTCCATTATTTTTCAACAGCATTTAACTATTATTTTCTTTTAGGATTATCCTTCTTCGGTGTGGAAGAAACGTGAATGTGATAACCCTATTCGAACTGTAAAAACAATCTTGCACACTATTACTAAAATGGTGGGTGGTGAAAGAATCCTTCAGTATGTGACTCGCATTGACAATTTAAGTGAATCAGAGTTGCAGCCTTATCTTCACAGATTGGTGAAGGTCAGTAATTGTGTAATTGTGATTTTGCAGAAAAATAACTAGGTATAAAGTGCATTCTACTTTTTATATTTTGCAGAAAATTAAAGTTGAGGAATCTAAAAGTAAATCTAAGAAACCCCCTCATAGATTATCGAAAGTAACTCATGAGCAGTTGTCAGAGATTTTTAAGAAGATAGGAGCAAGGGAGACTTCCCAAGAGGTGAGTTAAACATGATGCAAAAAGCATTATTTCTGTATTGTAAAATAATTTTGTCTAAAAAGTCAGTTACCATAATATCATTAACTTTGTGAATAAAATTGTAATAAAATGTGTAGTAAAACAAGTGATACTAAATATACTGACATTCCAATATCCACTGTTTGGTGTTACATCTTTGATGAAGTAGTAAAAAATAGGATTCTGGGTGAGTTTACCATACCAAACCACATCATAATACCACACTTGCCATCCTTTACAACCTTAAGTTAAATTACACAAAGATTTCTCTTACATTAATCAGTTGACTACTTCTCAGTATTAATACTAAAATATCCACCATTTAAAAATATTGAAGATTAGAAAATAATTATTCTCATAAAATTAGAGACGTAACTGAATTTCAAAGTGATGTGATCGTTAATAATAGATCTACCATCGAGTAAATTACTAAAAACGATATCTTAAACTCGACTGGGGGTAGTAATGCTTGTTCTGCTTTTCATTATTAAAATATAAAACAATATAGGCATTTCATTGTACATCTCTGATTAACATTAAGCTATATCACTAACACCTCTTGTCCAGGAGAGATAGCTCAGGGCATCAACTGATGTAACTGCAGTCTCTCTGACCGGGAGGTCCTAGGTTTGAAACCCGATGGTTGCAGGACTTTTGACACTGGATTGACAGCTAGGTCAAATTCAGTTTCTGTCTGGAGGAGAATTCTGGTGGCCAGCTGCTCTGATTGGTAGTAATACATGCTTTCCCTAAACATCAGGAGAGTGCTCGAGCAATATCCTAACAAACGGGCCACAGACCTCGTGTGATCTTTCCATCTTTCCTACCTCTTCTTTGTCCTATCCTTCCCCTGCTACCACATACTGACACTAAGATATACTACACTACTACATATGCCAGGAATCCAGTTGGGAGCTTAGAGTTAATCCTGGCTCAGACAGTATCCCACTGGTGAGATACCTGGTTAGGGAAAACACTGCTAGCACATGTATGTCGGCGCTGGATCTCGCCGTCCAATGGGGAAGACTTTTGCTATTTCCTGAGAGAGAAAACATGCAGAACACTTACGGGACTAATGACCATAGTTGACATTCTCAGAATCACTAACAATCAATCAATCAATCACAAACACCACTTTCTTGTAAACAGATGAAAGCAATAAGCCGTTCAGTTGGCATCTGTTTAAGAAGTGTCTATAAACTTAGAGGCTGAGCAACAAATATTCTTTGTTTCCCTGGGTACTATAAAGTTACATCTAAAAGTTCCAATGCCCTTAACAAATATAGTAATTTACACTTAACTGAATTACCTTGCTCATTATGAGAAATTCAATTTTTACCTATGTATATTGTAAATTTGATGTAATGTATACATTGTTTTAGGGTTTAGAATTACTTTATGACTTCAAAGAACAGCATCCAGAAGCTGACGTTGAGCCTTTCCTAAAGAAATCTTCCCAATTTTTTCAAGATTATATTGAAAGAAATCTGAAGATAATAGGTGAAAAAAGAAAAGCAAATGATGATAACTGTTATATTATAAAAAGTATGAGTACAACAACAAGCATGTCATCTTTAGGCAAGTATCATGTTTTTTCGGTCTTCATTTGGCATGTGAAAGGTTTTATATAGATCCTATGTCAACCAATTGTGATCCTTCTTTGTGAGATTGTAGTTAGAAAAGTTTACTAAAGCAGACGGCGGGCCCGGATAGCTGAGGTCGCGAAGGCTGAAGAGCCATGGCTGCCTTGTGCCTGAAGGGTTGAGAGTTTGAATCCCGCCTGGGGCATTGATGTTTGTATGTGTCTATGCACTGTTACCATTACTCTCAGTGTTACTTACAGTGGTTGCTATATTACCTTTGTAATTGAAAAGTGACCTAAAAAAAAAAAAAAAAATTGGTTGCTTATAAAAATTTCCTTCTCATAATTCTGTATTTACATACTTCAGTATTTTTAAAAGTTTAGGCTTATAGTTGATTTCATGGTTAAAAATAGGATGGAATTTACTTTATTTAACTTATTCTGGGAAAATAATTCTCTAAAACCAATAAGCACTGCCTCAGATTGTAAATTTTGAATATGATAATTAAAACAACTTTCACTTTTATTGTAGTTAAGTAGTTATGAAAAATCTTGGTTATTTTCATAAACAAATTGAAAATATGGAAACTTAGTCTGTAATAAATTTCATATTCTGAAAAACATAGGTCACAATGCTGGTGTTGAAATGGTCAACTGTCCTCATATTCGCATCACTATGAATGTACACTAATATATTTTCTCTTGTGCAATAATGAATTATAATATTTGGTTTATGAATATGAATAATAAAAATGTTGGTATTACTAAAGTTTTGGTACGTTCATTTTCAGGTGTAATTTCAAGATTGCTTTTAAATTTATATCTTTCGCCTTTCAGGAATGCAAGAATCAGGTGGCCCTGGAACACCATTTAGTGAAGCAGGTGATGCTACAATTCTGCCCCGAGCAGCTTTTGTGGATCACAGAAATATTCATTCTCACATGCGTGAAGGAGACTCTGAACAAGGTACCAAGGGGGCTGAGTATTATTTAGAAAGGTTACGTACTCTTCAAGCTCAAGCTGGAATTAATCCAAGTTCAGCTTTGGATGCTTTGAAAATGCAGAATAACCTTGGCCAAGGACAAATTACTCATGATCAGGATTTGAACAAGCAGCAGATTCAGGATGACTTGGAAATGGTAAGCATATGCTCATGTTGACTCTGATTGTTTTGAAAAATTAATAATTGCTTATTCTAATACTGTTCCCTTCCTTGCCTTCCTATGGTTCCTCTTCATAAAGCTGAAATTTGCTGTGAAGTGTGTGCATCTTGTGTGAAGTGTCTGTAACAGGTTTTCTATTTCTGTGCTCTGCTTTTAGTCAGTTTTGTAATGGAAAATGCGCATTTGATTGGTTGTGAATTGCTTTGCCAAAATGATTAAAGAGAAGTTCAATGAAGTAATAACTGGATGACATGCATAAAGAATATTAAGAAATTTGAACTCTGCTTTTAATTTTGTTCACTAGCAGAGAATTTTTGCTTGAGTTTATTTTTTGGTGTTTTACTGTCTTCAATCATATTACAATAGCAGTTCATAAGTTAAATAAAGTCTTAGTTGTATTTATTTATTTATTTATAATTGTGATGATCCCAAACATGTAATAGATAAAAATAAAAATGACAGTAAGGAATAAACAGTTTAAGGTAAAGTGTATTGAAGGACAATAAATTCTAAATTAATTTCAGAGACTTCTTGAATTTAACAGTGTCATTACCAAAGAAGTTCATATCATTGTATATTTGGCTGGCCCCGTGTGAAAGTCAGTTCACTATGTCATTACTCATAGTTTGTTGTATATTTAAGTAAATAAAAAAAGATAGTGAATTCGTGTTTACGTTGCGAAAAATAAAATCTCACTTCAGCAAGAATATGGACAGTTCATATCCTCAGATATAAAGTAGTGTAGAAAGACGAGGTCATGGTACAGTCTTCTAGCTGATGGCATAGGAATATTCATTCAGGGCCAGATATTGTTAGTTGTGACCTGGCTTTGATATGGGGTTGTTGTCAATAAATGCAAAATGTCTCAGAAATATTAATATAAGGGGACCAGACTACCTATGTTGCAAAGGGTGGCCAGCCTGCATATTCCAAAATTGACAGCACAAGTGCAAAACAGTAATTTGAAATTTAGATGTGAAAATTTTTTATGTTATGTATCAGGAATCTGCGCATTTTTTTGAATTAATTACATATCAGTTCAATGTGCAAATTAAAATCCAAACAAGCATCAAAGGTCACATCAAGATCCACAGTGTTATCAAGGAAACTTGTTAGAGTATCATGGATTTGGTATACTCCAACATATTTTCTCGCTCTCTCTCGCTCTCGCTCTCTCGCGCTCGCTCTCTCGCGCTCGCTCTCTCGCGTTCGCTCTCGCTCGCTCTCTCGCGTTCGCTCTCGCTCGCTCTCTCGCGTTCGCTCTCGCTCTCTCGCGCTCGCTCTCGCTCTCTCGCGCGCTCGCTCTCGCGATCTTTCTCGCGATCGCTCTCGCTCTCGCTCGCTCTCTCGCTCTCGCTCGCTCTCTCGCTCGCTCTCCAGTGTAGTGTATAAATTACAGAAGGGCTTTTTTTTCTGGTGAAAGTTACATGTTGGTACTCTGCATCATACCATTATCCAACATCAGATAGTGATCTCGCGCGCCGCTCTTCTCTCTCTCTCGCGCCGCTCGCCGCTCTCCTCTCTCTCTCTCGCGCGCGCTCTCTCGTCTCGCTCTCTCCGCGCGCCGCTCTCTCTCTCTCTCTCGCGCCGCCGCTCTTCTCTCTTCTTCTTCCTCGCGCGCGCTCTCTCTACTCTCTCGCCGCGCGACCCTCTCTCTCCTTCTCTCGCGCCGCGCTCTCTCTCTCTCCTCGCCGCCTCTCTCCTCTCTCGCGCGCGCTCTCTCTCTCTCGCGCGCGCTCTCTCTCTGCTCGCGCGCCGCTCTCTCCTCTCTCTCCCTTCACGCCGCGCCTCTCTCTCCTCTCTCACCCCGCCGCTGCTACTCTCTCTCTCTCTTCACGCGCCCTTCTCTCTCTCTCTCACGCGCTCTCTCTCTCTCTCTCGCCCCGCTCTCTCTCTCTCTCGCGCTCTCTCTCTCTCTCTCGCGCTCTCTCTCTCCGCCGCTCTCTCTCCTCTCTCGCGCTTCTCTCTTCTCTCTCGCGCCTCTCGCTCTCTCTTCGCGCTCTCTCTCTCTTCTCTCTCGCTCTCTGCTCTCTCTCTCGCTCTCTGCTCTCTGTGGTTCAACCAAAATTCGAGACCAACAAAGGACAGATTTTCTGGTAGAGAACAGTCCAAAACAAAAAAGTTTGCATGCTGAGTTTACATCAACGAGAGGAAGAGAGCCCTTGATTTCCATCAATTATCATATCCAACAGGTTTGAGTTGAATCATCTGAATTTGGTTTTGATAAACAGTTTTATATTAAAAATTCTTTTCTTTCCCAAGAGCATTGGATTGACACATGGTTGAAATGTTTTAGGTGCCTTCAAAAATCATGTTCCCTACTTTAAAAATCAATACTTAAATACAAAACAAAATCAATT